GTACACCACGCTGTTGAACTGACCTTCCGACCTGACGGTCATCAGTCGCAGTTCGCCGTCGCCGCAGCGACTCTTCGGCAGTTCAATGGCATGGAACTTCGCCTGACCGTTCGGCGTCGGGAACTGATAGTCCACCGGCGTCCGGCCCCGCACATGAAACTCGGCCTTCGACTCATCGATTCCCAGCATGTCTTCGTACCCGGGAACCAGTTCCCCGATCAGATCGCGAATGGCAGCATGACTGCGCAATGACTCAAAGTCGACGCGGCGGTCACTTCCAAAAACCGCACCGGCGAGGTCGGACAGAATCGACACTTCGCTGCGAGGACCATCAAATCGCGCATGCCCGCCGTCACTCAGACGAACAAAGTTGAACATCGACTCCTGAGTCGTCGCCTGAGATTCCTCATCCCGCGGCAGCACCGGCAGGATGACGGTCTCTTTCCCCAGCCCCCACGCATGTCCGGTGTTGAGCGTCGTGGACAGATAGCCGACCGTCTCTATGGCATTCATCGCCTCCGCCGCCGTCTGCAGGTCCGGATTGCTGCCATACAGATTTCCCCCCAGGCACAAAGCAAAATCCATCTCACCGGCATGAGCGGCATCCATACACTGCATCGTGTCGTAGCCCGGTGACGTCGGCACGGAGATACCCAGTTTTGATTCAAACTTCTGCAGCATCGATGTCTTGAGCGCCGGCGTCACACCAACAGAACCCAGTCCCTGAACATTGCTGTGGCCGCGAATCGGCATCATTCCGGCGTTCCGGCGTCCGACCATGCCGCGCAGCAGCGCCGTATTGGCGATCATCTGCACATTCTGTGTTCCATGAAGATGATGAGTGATCCCCATGCACCAGCCAAACACCACGTTGCGGGCTGACAGAAAGTGATCGGCGAGCTTCTGGATCTCGGCGCGACTCACCCCGGCGGATGCCTCAATATCATCCCAGTCCAGTGACGTGACAGTTTCCTGAAACTCTGCGAACCCTTCGGTGTGCTGTTCAATAAACGGCTGATCCTGGGCGCCCCGACTGAGAACTTCTTTGCAGATCCCCGACATCAGCGCCAGATCGCCGCCGACATGCGGCTGCACATAATCGCTGGCGATGGACGACCCAAACATCAGACTGCGAACGTCGCTGGGAACGCGGAAATTCTGCAGGCCCAGTTCCTTCACCGGGTTGATCACCACCACCCGGCCACCGCTCCGACGTATCTCCATCAGGGAACGCATCAGCCGCGGATGATTGGAGGATGGATTAGCTCCAATGAGAAAATACAGATCGACGTTCTTGAGATCCTCCAGACGGATGGTGCCGGTTCCGGTGCCAATGCTGCTGGTGAGTCCGACGCCGCTGGCCTGGTGGCAGTAGTAAGAACAGTTGTTGACGTAGTTGGTGCCGAACTGCCGAGCGATCAGCTGCAGCAAAAAACCGGCTTCATTGCTCGACCGACCGCTTGCATAGAAGAAACTGCGTTCCGGACCTGCTGATGCCATGCGATCCGCCAGCCGCGGCAGCACTTCCTCCCATTCGACGGGTCGATAATGCGAAGCCCCCTCTTCCAGCACGACCGGTCGTACGAGTCGACCACAGTGCTCCAGCTGACGCGATGTCATGGCTTTCAGCTGATTGACACTGTACTGGCTCCAGAATCTGTCCGGGATGGCGTCCTGCATGTCGGACGCCATGGCCTGTACGGACTTCTTGCAGACTTCCGGGAAATAGCCGCCCTCATTGACCATCCCGCCCAGCTGACCGCCCATCCCGACAGCGCAGGTCTTGCAGGTGTTCTTCGACCGCAGGGCCTTCCACATCTTCCACCAGCCCACTCGACTGGCCAGTCTGGTGGTGTACCCGATTGCCTTCCATCCGCCGCCACTGGCAGGTCGCCTCATCGCCATGATCGCCCGTCCGAAAAAAACAAAATCCCTGATTCGCAGATCTTAGCGGCGCTGAAGGAACGGTAAAACCACTTCCCCTGCCGCCAGCCTTCCCGCCACTCCCAACCAATTCTTACAGTCACGCTGCGGGAACGGTCGGATTCACGAAAAAAGGGCTGAGCCACCCTGGTGACTCAGCCCCGCTCGTTTTCAGCCCGCAACTCGATATGGCTTACAGTGCCGCCATTTTCTCGATCAGCTCAACGGTTCGGCAGGAGTAGCCAAATTCGTTGTCATACCAGCCCAGCACTTTGACCATGTTTCCGCCCATCACAGTGGTGAAGCCGGAATCAAAGATACAGCTGTGTGAATTGCCGACGATGTCGCTGGAGACAATTGGATCTTCGGTGTATTCCAGAATGCCTTTCAGACCACCTTCGGCAGCAGCCTTGATGGCGGCATTCACTTCTTCGGCCGTTGTGGTCTGACCAACGATCGCGGTCAGATCGGTGACGCTGCCCGTCACGACAGGAACTCGCAGGGACATCCCGGTCAGCTTGCCGTCCACATCAGGAAAGACCTTGCCGACGGCTTTGGCCGCACCGGTAGAGGTAGGAATGATATTCACAGCCGCTGCTCGGGACCGACGAGGGTCTGAGTGCAGCTGGTCCGCAACCTTCTGGTCGTTGGTGTAAGCGTGGCAGGTCGTAATCAGACCATGCTGGACACCACCGAACGATTCGTGCAGCACCTTCACCATGGGAGCCAGGCTGTTGGTTGTGCAGCTGGCGTTGGAGATGCATTTGTGGTCAGCGGTGAGCTGATCATCGTTGACGCCACAGACCAGCGTCAGGTCTTCGCCCTTGGCAGGAGCAGAAATGACGACTTTGCCCGCACCAGCGCTCAGGTGCGAATCGTAGCCAGGCTTTCCGTCAGCCGCTCGGCTGGTGAAGAAGCCGGTGGACTCCAGAGCCACGTCGACACCCAGATCGCTCCAGGGCAGATTGCCAGGATCTCGTTCGGCACAGATCTTGATGGTCTTGCCGTTGACAATCAGATCGTTACCACTGACTTCGACGTCACCATCAAAACGGCCCTGAGCACTGTCGTACTTGAACAGATTTGCCAGGGCTGATGGTGCGCCCAGATCGTTGATCGCCACCACTTCAATGTCAGCACCGCGCTGATCACTGGCCTGACGAGCGAGGATCGCTCGCAGTGTGATCCGACCTATGCGTCCGAATCCGTTGATTCCAACCTTCACTGCAGGACGTGCCATAGTAAGAACTCTCCCAACTTTCACTTGCAATAACCGGCAAATAGACAGACAGCAGACGCTGTGAGTTCCACGAGAACTCAATTGTTTGGGTGACTGTCAGCCCGGAACCTGCTGTTCACGGTGCTAACCACAACACAGAGCGAGGAACGCCTGTGGGATTCACCTGTGGTCCTGATTTGCCACTCAGAACCTGCCTGAACGACCTTCGATCGATTCATCGGTGGCCGATAGTAGCGGCGTCCGTTCGCATTGCAAGGTGAGTCGAAAAGGAGCCTGCAGTTGCCTGTATTCGGGAGGGATTTCGCCGCAATCCGGGAAAAACCGGCAAACCCTGGGATCTGCTTAACAAATTCTGAACACCCGAGATACGGCGTCGCGGACAAAGACTTCACCCATCATTTCGAGTCACTGACACGTCAAGAGCAATCTGCGGATCAGTTCGACTGATCGGTCAGTCGCGGGTGGCATCGGCGACCCGCTGAGTGAACCTGCGGGAGACCGACAAGGCGATTTTTTCACCCAGTCTGGGAAACAACTGCTTCAGCACCAGGACCGGACGCATGGGCGGCCAGTTCAGAATCACCTCCGGCGCCTGGGATTCGATACATCGCAGCACCGCAGCCGCCACCGCATCGGCCGTGGTTCCCCCCAGTGCCGATGACGTCTGACGACCGGTCTTCTCGACCATCCGATCGTAAATACCGCCATCCTGAGTGAATCCTGGACAAATGGCGGTTGCTGAGATCCCGCGATTCAGAAACTCACCGCGCAGACCCTCGGTGAATCCAATCAGTGCACTCTTCGTCGCTCCATAAACCGCTCCAAACGCCGGGCAGTGCCTTCCGGCCGTCGACGCCATGTTGATGATGCAGCCCGACTGCTGTTCCAGCATGGTCGGAATCACCAGACGCGTCAGCAGAATGGCGCCCGTCAGATTCACTTCAATCGTCTGCAGAATGCGATCGAATTCAATCTCTTCAAAGTGCTCAAAGCACTCCACACCCGCATTGTTGACCAGCACGTCAATCCGCCCGAATTGCTCCACAGCCTGCTGATGCAGCGAGGTCAGGTCATTGGGGTCGGAAACATCACACGCCACCGCCAGAGCGGTCTGACCGGCGGCACTGATCTGTTCCTGCAGCTCATCCAGCCTGTCTTTCGATCGGGCTGCCAGCACCACACTGTACCCGCTGTCGGCCAGGCGCACGGCAACGGTCCGTCCAATGCCGGCAGACGCTCCGGTTACCAGCGCCACCTTTTGTGTCGAAGTCATGATTTCAGATTTCTCACCCAGTCCCCGTCGTCAATTGACCAACCCGCCCTGCGTGAAGCATGGCAGATTCATGACGCCAGGTCGACAGGAGACTCCGAAACCAGTCGCAGCAGCGCTGATCGACTAACCAAACAGACTCAGCAGCTTGCTCTTCCAGGATGTGTACGGCGGATAAGTGATCGGCGGATCAATCCACGTCGCCTTCTTCAGCACCGGCTTCAGGTGGGAGAACGTGTCGAAACCCCATTTGCCGTGATAAGCGCCCATACCGCTTTCGCCCACGCCGCCAAACGGCATGTTGCCGTTGGACAGATGCAGGATCGTATGATTCACCGTCACACCGCCGGCCGTCGTTCGCGACAGAACCTGCTCCTCCACCCCTTTATCTTCAGCAAACAGATACAGCGCCAGGGGCTTTTCGCGACTGTTGACCATCCGAATGGCTTCGTCCACATCGCGGATTTTGATGATCGGCAGGACGGGCCCGAAGATCTCGTCCTGCATCACCGCGTCGTCGGCCGTCACATCGGTCATCAGTGTCGGAGCAATGAACCTGTCGGAGCGATCGGTCTGGCCTCCGTGAGCCACCTTGTCGGGATCGATGAGTGCCGCCACGCGATCGAAGTGGGCTTCATTGACGATCCGCGGATAGTCCGGACTCTGCTGAACATCGCTGCCGTAGAATTCATCAATCGTCGATTTCAGCTCCTTAACCAGAGCGTCATGACACGACTCTGATACCAGGATGTAATCCGGAGCCACGCAGGTCTGGCCGCAGTTCATGAATTTCCCCCACGCGATGCGTTTTGCCGTCACGCCCAGTTTCGCGCTGTCGTGCACAATGCAGGGACTCTTGCCGCCCAGTTCGAGCGTGGTGGGTGTCAGATGTTTGGCCGCGGCCGCCATCACAATCCGAGCCACTCGTGCTCCACCGGTGTAACAGATGTGATCAAATCGCTGATCCAGCAACGCGGTCGTTTCCGGCACCGCACCCTCGACCACCGGAAAGCACTCTCCATCCACATAATTCGAAAGACGTTCTGCCAGCAGCCGCGATGTCGCCGGAGCCAGTTCCGAGGGCTTGAGCACCGCACAGTTACCAGCCGCAATGGCTCCCACCAGCGGAGCCAGTACCAGGTTCATGGGATAGTTCCACGGCGAAACAATCAGTACGACTCCCAGTGGATCCGGTCGCAGAACACCGGACGCCGGTTTCAGCACTGAAGGTGTTTTCACTTTGCGTGGAGACGTCCAGCGTTTGAGGTTCTTTCTGGCATCAGCGACCTCAATCGTCAGCGGCCAGATTTCCGCCATGTAACTTTCGAAATCCGCCTTCCTCAGATCGTCACGCAGAGCTTCCTGGATGGCATCGGCTTCTTTCGTGACAAACTCCGCTAAGCCGGCCAGCTGCGCATCGCGCCACGCCAGGGGACGAGTGACATCTTCATTGAACCGCTCACGAGCCCGCTGCACGATGCCGGGAATGTCCTGAGTGGCCGTCGGCTGAGCGGACGGAGTAGCGGCAGGTGCAGATTCCTGAGTGGTTGACATGGCAAAGCCTCCGGCGATCGTCTCAAACAAGAGTCGGGATACGTGTAACCTTCTGGCGGCACAGCTGCCCGCGCGGACGATCAGCACACACGCTCACAGCCTCAGGATAATACGCTCCCGGATCCCGAACTGACACCGGAATCCACTGAGCATTCGAAAAACAAAGACCAGCGGTAAGCATCAACACTGCCGCCTGTGAATTCTGTGGCTGCCAACTTTGGCCGGAGATCCACAACTCCGCTGCATTTCTTCAGCAGATTGCATGGAATTTGACTTCCAAAGCCGTCAGCATCAGCTGCCTGCCCCCTGAGAAGCCATCCATCCCTTCCCGCCTTTTCTGGACTCCTCCGGATGACATCTTTCCGCCCCTCCCTGATAACGATCTCTGCCTCATTGGTGAGCATTCTCACCGTGGTGATCACAGCTACCGGTTTAGCGCAGTGCTGCGCTAACGAATCAGGTGATACTGACGAGCCAGCCTACAGCATTCCGTACCTGGACCTGGACGATCAGATCTGGAGACAAACCGTGGTCGACCGGGAAGCCGGCCAGTACCTCGGCCATCCGACCACACTGCTGCTGGAAGATGGTCACACCATGCTGTGTGTGTATCCCAAAGGACATGGCCGAGGCCCCATCGTTTACAAGCGATCTGACGATGGCGGCCGGACGTGGAGCGACCGGCTGCCAACGCCCGACAGCTGGGCGACCTCCAAAGAAACACCCACTCTTCACCGAGTGATCGATGCCGACGGAACCAAACGGATCATCATGTTCTCCGGATTGTATCCCTGCCGTATGGCGGTATCCGAAGACGATGGTCACAGCTGGTCAGATCTCAAGCCGGTTGGCGACTGGGGTGGCATCGTCACCATGGGATGCCTGACAGACCTGCGGACCGGCGCCGGTCACTATCTGGCCCTGTTCCATGATGACGGTCGGTTCTTCACCGCCACACCACACCAGTCGAAACCAGTCGAGTTCACTCTGTTCAGTACGAAGTCCGAAGACGGCGGACTGACCTGGTCTCAGCCGGCTGTGGTACACCGCTCGACCAGCCATCACATCTGTGAGCCTGGCGTGATTCGATCGCCGGATGGCAAACGCCTGGCGGTCCTGCTGAGAGAAAACAGTCGACGACACAACTCTCAGATCATCTTCAGTGATGACGAAGGACAATCCTGGACCGCCCCGCGCGCGATGCCTGCCAGTCTCAACGGCGATCGACATACCGGCCGATACCTGCCGGACGGACGACTGTTCGTTTCCTTTCGCAGTCGCCAGCCCCGCGGCGCCGGATCAACACGACACAACGGCGACTGGATCGCCTGGGTGGGTACGTGGGACGACCTGATCAACCATCGCGAAGGTCAGTACGTCGTGCGACTCAAAGACAACAAAAAGGGGGCCGACTGCGCTTATCCGGGCGTCGAAGTCCTGCCGAACGGCACCATCGTGACCACCACCTATGGTCACTGGTCTCAGGGCCAGCCGCCCTATGTGCTGACAGTACGGCTGCAGCTGAGCGAACTGGATGAGCTGGCTGCTGAGTGAACGACCTCTGCCCCTATGCCCGCCTCGACAGTCAGACGCCCGCATCCCGCCATAACCGATTCTCACACATTCCTGTGATCATAAGGCGAACGATTGTGACACTTCGCTTCGGCCTGATGAGCCTGACTGCTCTGATGCTGTGCCTCACGGCCAGCCAGGCGGCCGACTCCCGCTATGTTGAAGACTATCCGCAGACTGCGTCGCGCAAGGGACTGCAGGTTGAAATGGTGGATGACGCCCTCGCACTCGGCGTGAAACACGCAGCCATCAATGTCAACCTGTGTCAGCTGGTTGATCCTGCCACTGAGTCGGCAGACGACAGCTGGACGATCGACGGAAAGACATTCTGCTTTCGCCAGTCCGGCCTGCAGCATCTCGACCGCCAGATCAAGCCTCTCTCCGATCAGGGAGTGATTGTGCATCTGATCATCCTGGCCTATCAGTCAGGCGACCCCGAGATCAATCGGCTGATGCTGCATCCTGAGTACGACTCCGCTGCCCCCAATCGCCTGGGAGCCTTCAACTGCGCAACCGAAGAAGGACGGCAGTGGTTCACAGCCACCATGCAGTTCCTCACGGAACGCTGGTCACGTCCGGATCGAAAGTACGGCCGGGCCGTCGGGTTTATCATCGGTAACGAAGTGAACTCTCACTGGTGGTGGAGCAATCGTGGTCAGGTCCGTTTCGAGGACTTCGCCGCCGACTACCTGCGCACCGTACGCATGGCGAGTGCGGCCGTACGCAGCCAGTCATCATGTGCACGCGTCTATCTCTCTCTGGAACACCACTGGACGATCCGTTACCCGGCCGGCAGTGAACTTCAGGCGTTTCCTGGACGCAAACTGGTTGACCACTTCGCAGAACACGGGCAGGACTTCGACTGGCACCTGGCTTTTCACCCGTATCCAGAGAATCTGTTTGAACCTCGCTTCTGGAATGACACCACAGCCATCGACAGCCCGGACACACCGCGCATCACCTTCAAAAACCTGCAGGTCCTGACGGACTACTTTGCTCAGGACAAACTGCTGTTCCACGGCCAGCGCCGCCGGATCATTCTCAGCGAACAGGGGTTTCACACTCCGGATGGTGAAGATGGGGAACAGCTGCAGGCCGCCGCCTACTGCTATGCCTACCGCAAAACGGCCACTCTGGACGGCATCGACGCCTTCATTCTGCACCGGCACGTCGACCATCCCCATGAAGGCGGTCTGCATCTGGGCCTGCGACGACGAGACGGTAACAGTCGCCCGAAGAAAATGATCTATGACTGTTTTCTCCACGCCGATCAGGACAACTGGCGAGAAGTCTTCCGTTTTGCCCTGCCGGTAGTGGGACGCACCGAATGGCCAGCAGACAACAGACAGTAGCCCCCACGAACAACGCCCGCACTACTTCCTCATTCTGAGATTCACACATGGTATTCGGAACCATTCCTGCCCGTCACCGCACCGGCATCCTGAGCACTGCACTCGGACTCATGCTGACAGCGTTCTGTGTCCTGAGTACAGCCACCGCCGGCGACAACACTGACAAGCCGGCCGGCCAGATTCCGACATTCGTGACCGCCTTCGGTGCCACAGGCGACGACACAACCGATGACACTGCAGCAATTCAGCAGGCCATTGATGCTCAGATCGGTGAGATCCGCTTTCCACGCGGAGTCTTTCGACTCAGCAAAACCATCACCATCGATCTGGACCGGACCGGTCCCACGTCGCTGATCGCCGACGGCCCCGCACGCGTGGTCATGACCGGACCCGGTCCCGCCTTTCGCTTCGTGGGAACGCACCAGGGAACGGCCGCACCGGAAACAGTCCGCGACAACATCTGGCAAAATCAAAGGACGCCAATGATCAGTGGTCTGGAGATCGTGGGCGATCATCCCGAGGCCCGCGGTATCGAAGCCAGCGGCACGATGCAGCTGACCATCACCCGACTGGTCGTCCGGCGAACTCTGCACGGCATCCACCTGGTGAAACGCAATCGCAATGTGATCATCTCCAGCTGCCACCTGTACGACAACATCGGCGCCGGCATCTACTACGACAACGTCAACCTGCACCAGTCAAATATCATCGGTTCTCATGTGAGCTACAACGACGGCGGCGGCATCGTGATCAGAGGCGGTGATGTCCGCAACGTGCACATCGGCACCTGCGACATCGAAGGCAACATGGGAACAGAACACTCTGATCCTACGGCCAACGTCCTGATTGACGCCACCGGCGGATCGATCGGAGAGGTGGCTATCACGGGCTGCACGATTCAGCATGCTCACGGCTTCCCTGATTCTGCCAACATCCGCATCAACGGCGACAGCACCGTCCGCTCATTCACCGATGAAACCAGACACGGAAACATCACCATCGCAGACAACGTCCTGTCAGACGTTCAGGTCAACATCGACATCATCAACACACGTGGAGTGACAATCAGCGGCAATACCATCTGGAAAGGGTTCGCCCACAATCTAAAAGTCGACAACTGCGCCAGCATCGTCGTTTCCGGCAATGTGTTTGATCGCAATCCCCGCTACCACGCCGGCAAAGCCAGTGCTGCACGCCATGCCCTGCTGTTCACCAACTCCGACGGGTGCAGCTTTAGCGGAAATCACATCGTTGGTGTCGATGCATCCCCGGCCGCCATGACTGTGCGCAATTGCCGTCATTTCAACATCACCGACTGTACGATCCTGGACAGCGGCCCTTGCGCACTGCTGCTGCAGGATGTCTCCCACAGCCGGGTTTCCGGGTGTCTGATCCGTCACAGCAGTGAAGATAGTCAGGACGCGGTGTCTCTGAAGCTGACGCGCGGAACGGGGAATCTGCTGACCGGAAATCTCTGGGGCAATACCGCGCAGATCGACGAGTCTGCCATCCACCGCACGAAGAACCCGCAGTCCAGATGACGCCATCCGTCCAGGCAACAGAAAATGATGGAGAATGGATCAGGGAAAGGAGTGGCATCGACGTCATGGCTGTTTAGGATGGACGATCTCTGACACAACCATCGATTCCCACTGCCGACAGCGAAGGCTGCCACGATGAAAGTCGCTCTGCTCACTCATTCCGGAGGCGCTCACATTGAGGCCTATCTGTCGGCTCTTGCCGAAGCGAAGGACTGCGACGAAGTGGTGCTGGCAGATCCCGATGACCGCTGGACGGAGAGCGCCAGCAGCAAACTGCAGAACAAGCTGACACGCACGTATCAGAACCCCGTCGAGCTGCTGGAAAAGGAATCTCCCAAACTGTGCATGGTGTCGATGGAGGCGAAAACCGCGCCGCCGGTGGTCGGAGCCGCTCTGGAACAGGGGTCTCATGTTTTCGCCGAGAAGCCTGCCTGTGTGACGCTGCAGGACTTTGAGGCGCTGGCTAAACTGGCCGACTCCAAACACCTGCATCTGATGCTGGCTCTGGCGAATCGCGTGAACCCGGAGTCACTGA